TATGGTAAAACAGATGCTATCTCTGGGGATTCAAGAGGTGTAGTCATGCCCAATGCTTTTGTCTGATTACTACAATCTTAATTATTGAGGCAACCCCGCGAGACGGATAGGGCCTTCAGTTGGACAACTGACTCTTGATGCAAGACGCGTGTCGGTCAAGACGTAATTAGGACACATCCCCCACTTCGGTTTGTAAGAAGCACATCTCGATGGGTGACTTCCAACGCACAAATTAAGATCACATCTGGTCCTAACACAAATATATGGTTGTAAGCATTAAGACCTCATACCCAAGCCTATTTTTATTATAAGTGTTCTCCTCTAGTTGTTTGATTTGATCCGGTCAAAAGCTGGAATTATTTCTTTAACAAAAGCTTGCCTGAGACCCTAGCTTAAACGATATCATCCTCCCGTGGGTTCGATAACTCAGGGTCGCCTCTGGGGGGAGAAGCGAGAATCCTTGTTGCTTCATTTTCAAATCACCAAAGGAAGTAATCAGGTCCACATTCTCCCTCATTCTCTATTTTTTCTATTTACCCCTGTTACTTTTTCCCACTCTCTCATCCTTCCTGACACAGCTCATTGTGGTTCAAGCAAAAAGAGCATAGCTGAGCAAACAAACTAGTGCTTTGTCAGATGAAGTGATAGACTCCTCTGTAGGAACCCGTCTCTCTCTACAAGCATTAGCTTGTTCTGAGCTAGGGCATGTGGACTGACGTGGCAAACTAGAGCAGTTGTCCAGCATGGAGCGTAGTACAGGCCCTAACCGATCCGGATACATGTCAATCCTAGCCTTGCCCCATATATAAGGCAAGCTATGAGGAATCCAAGAGACTCCCTTCCACCTTTTGATACTTGATCCTAATGATCTCACAATTGTACACCAAGCCCTAGCTCATACGAGGCTAGAGCAATATTACACATCAAAGTATGGATAGGGCACTATCTCGATCGCAAGGACCCGAACCTGGGTTAATTCTCATATCAGCACCCAACCACGTGCAACACCCGTCACGAATATCATTGGGTGTTACCTCGATGGTTGGTGCCAGGCAAGGGTGGTGTTGGCTGCAGAGCAGATCCAGATGGGATCAAACATCGTCACCAACGTCTTCATTCTGAGCCATATATTAAGTATCACATGTCCTTTTAAACTCTCCCTTACAGGAAAATAGGATTACATTTGAATCATTGGGGTGCTAAAGTCTTATTTCTCCTCCATTCACCGACTGCCCTCCGTCTCAGTGGAGCAAACTTGTTTGAACTTAGGAGGTTGTAGAAGTAGCGACCAAGAAGTCGTTGATGTTAGACCAAAAGACATCAGCAATCACGATCTACCTAGCAAATCACAACCCCGGATAAGAAAACACCAAAAAGGACTTGTAAAAACTCTAAAGGCCACGAGTATCGGCCAAATCTAGATGGTACCAAAAACTCCTGGAAGATCCACCTGAGACACACCTCCACACACCCTCCATGGGCAATAAACTGAAGGAAATATGCCCTAGAGGCAATAATAAAGTTGTTATTTATATTTCCTTATATCATGATAAATGTTTATTATTCATGTTAGAATTGTATTAACCGGAAACTTAGTACATGTGTGAATACATAGACAAACAGAGTGTCCCTAGTATGCCTCTACTTGGTTAAGTTTCCTGACCATAGACATGTGTTGTCATTTGATGAACGGGATCACATCATTAGGAGAATGATGTGATGGACAAGACCCATCTGTTAGCTTAGCATAATGATCATTTAGTTTTATTGCCATTGCTTTCTTCATGACTTATACATATTCCTCTGACTATGAGATTATGCAACTCCCGAATACCGGAGGAACACCTTGTGTGCTATCAAACGTCACAACGTAACTGGGTGATTATAAATATGCTCTACAGGTGTCTTCGGAAGTGTTTGTTGAGTTGGCATAGATCGAGATTAGGATTTGTCACTCCGAGTATCGGAGAGGTATCTCTGGGCCCTCTCGGTAATACACATCACTACAAGCCTTGCAAGCAATGTGACTAATGATTTAGTTGCGGGATGATGTATTACGGAATGAGTAAAGAGACTTGCCGGTAATGAGATTGAACTAGGTATAAGGATACCGACGATCGAATCTCGGGCAAGTAACATACCGATGACAAAGGAAATAGCGTATGTTGTTATGCGATTTGACCGATAAAGATCTTCGTAGAATATGTAGGAGCCAATATGAGCATCCAGGTTCCGCCATTGGTTATTGACCGGAGATATGTCTCGGTCATGTCTACATAGTTCTCGAACCCGTAGGGTCCGCACGCTTAACGTTCGATGACGATTTGTATTATGAGTTATGTGTTTTGGTGACCGAAGTTTGTTCAAAGTCCCGGATGAGATCACAGACATGACGAGGAGTCTCGAAATGATCGAGAGGTAAAGATTCATGTATTGGAAGGTTATATTCGGACATCGGAATGGTTCCAAGTGATTCGGGTATTTTTCCGGAGTACCGAGGGATTACCGGAACCC